TGCCCCTAGAAATTTTATATTCTAGGGATGGTTTGGGGAAGGAACCAATACAGACATGAAAAGACTCATTTTGAGGATAATCATAACTTTGATGTGTGCAATAAAGGGGAAAATGGAGTCAGGCTGTTATGACCTAGTCAGACTGAGAGTAATCGGGGGGATTTCTCTGATCAGGAGCAAGCCACACTCAAGACCCGGATCATTTTTGGAACTCAGATAACAAGAAGAGCAACCATAGCTGGAAGCTTGCCCCATGAACAAAGGGTAGAAAGCAGCTGCAATACAGAAGGGATCATTAAGAAAAAGATGGCTGGAGGAACCGGTCGAGATGGGAGATGTGTGCAGAAAGTAGATAAAGGACCAAACATGATAACCTCTCAGGGTCTGTATTGCAAACCATAATGCCCAAAAGTAGAGAGAGATTATGGGGAATCATATCTGCCATGGAGACAGAGGGAGGGTGGGAAAGGGGGGTTATACCGGAGATATTGGTGGTGGGGAATGTGCACTGGTGGAGGGATGGGTGTTTGATCATTGTGTGATTGTAACCCAAACATGAAAGCTTGTAACTATCTCACGGTGATTCAATAAAATTAATAAGAAAAAAAAACAAGGAGAGCAAGCAAAAGTATTCCCTGAAAAGGCCATGATATGGGATATAGTCAGACATAACAGACACAGAAAAATGCAATGTGTGATGCAAGGGAAAGGAAGAAAGAGGAAGTGTGCCCTGCGACAATCTGGAAGGAGCCAGAAATCTTATGTAGGAATTGAATTTTCCTCAAGGGAATGGGTAGTCATGAATGATTTTCATGCATGATTTAACTTCCATTTATATAAGACCACTCTGGGGGACAGACAGGTACTATAATAAGTATAGCTTTGTGTAGAAGCTGAATTTAGATGGTCGGCATCAGAATGTTCACTGTTGATTTTTTAAAACTTTTCTCTGTGTTTGAACAGTTTAAATGAACATATTGGAAAAATCACATTGGCCATAATATGGAGAATGAATTGCAGGAGGGCAGGAGCAGTGGTGGAGAGAGCAGCTATGTGAGTTCAGTAATCACAGAGGGCACTGCTGGTGGCTTGGGTGAGGCTAGTAGCATGAAGATGATGAGAACAGGGTGGATACATTGGAGGAAGCAATCAATGTGATTTGCTGATTACTGTCGCCTCCGGGTAAAAGAGAGGCATAAATCAAAGATCACACCCAGTGTCTACTTACTGAGATGGCATGCACTGGTACAGAACGGCCTGCCTGGCAAGGGAGAAGGTGGAATGAAGAATTCAGTTCTGAATATGTGGAGAGTCTGAGCAGTCCTGGTGAATTGTCAAACAGGCATCTGGACCTGAGGCTGGGGCTGACTGGAAGGGTCTGGTTTAGAGAGGTTGTATTAGGCATGGTGATGCCTGAGAGGGTATGAGGAGCAAAGAAAGAAGAACTGGTTATTTTAAAACTGTGCAGCATTTCTCAATCGTTTTTCAACCATGGCCTTGGTTCTTTCCTATGCCTCCCCTTTCCCACTGGTTGGTCATATAATTTCATGTTGTGGTCCTCAGTTATATGATTTTCACCTGTGTTCCTTTTGCAACGTGTTCCTGGGAGTCCATGGAGTGGCCATTTACCCCTGCCCTGGCTGAGAAACACTGGTATTGAGGATGAGTGAAAATGAAGAACTAAGAAGGAAAACAAAAAAATTAGGAGTATGTGATATTCTAGAAGGCCAACACTTATGGCCTCTGAGTGATTTATAATGTTTCACAATATATCCCTCTGTACATACTGATTTCTCACATGTGTTAGCTATCATTGCAGAATAAATAAAACTGAATTTTCTAGGTACTATGTTTACCTCATTTCAAATTTAATGTGTTTATTTTTGAAAAATTGGCTAGTCAAGCCACCAAACATAGATGACCATGTTTAATATGGCATTTAACAGGATTGGTTAAAATTTATGATGGATCCCTATAATGTAATATCCTATAGCTATATTTTTAAACAGAGGCTGTTTACAGAGACTGGCATAATCAATATCTATATCTTTATATCTATATCTATCACAGTGCTGGCATGGTTGCAGGGAGAAAGGGACACTTCTGTATTGTTGGTGGGAATGCCAACTGGTCCAGTCTTTTTGGAAAACAATATGAGCATTCCTCAAAAGCTAGAAATTGAGCTTCCATATGACCCAGCAATACTATTTTTGGGAATATCTTCCAGGGACCCAAAAACACACTGAAGAAAAGCCACTGCACTTCAATGCTCATTGCAGCACTATTCACAATAGCCAGAATCTGGAAACAACCCAAGTGCCTGAGAACAGATGACTGGATAAAGAAACTGTGGAACAATGGAATAGGAGAAATGAAGTCATGAAATTTGCATCTAAATGGATGTACATGAAGAGTATTATGCTGAGTGAAATGAGACAGAGGTAAAGGGACAAATATAGAATGATTGGACTCATTTGTGGGATATAAAAAAACATAGTATGAGAATAATACCCAATGACAGTAGAAACAAGGGCCAGGAGGAATGATCCATGGTTGCAAGCTTGTCACAAGTGGTGGGGTGGAGAGGGCAGCTAGGATAGAGAAGGAACCGTTATGATAAAGATAGTTGGAAATGATCACTCTGCACAAGAACTGGGTGCTGAAAGTAGGTAAAGGGACAAACATGATAACCTTTATTCTGGTATATGAAGAGAAAAGTTAATTTTCATAACCTTAAGCTACTTAAATGTTATGCCATTCACATGTATCCCCCATATTTAAAAGCTTTTTTTCTGCTTTTACACAGTACTTAATAAAAAGGAATGAACTAAAGGTAATTTACCTTTTATTTCTGAAAGCAGTATCTAAAGGTTTCTCATGGACCTCTGTGTGCCTGAGTTTTGCATCATGGATGTGCCTCATGAGATACTGGATATTATGAAACTAAGAATACATGTAATTGCTCTAGATGTGACAAGGGTTTAAAACACAAATGTCCAAGTTATGCACTTTCAATCTTATAATTTTTCCCTATTTTTAATGAACAAATAAACTTCATTTCAACTTCTTTATAACTGTCTTCAGACTTTACCATCCCATTCTCTCACCTCCCCACGAAATGTCATTTGATGACAGAAAAAGTCACTTCAAACCTGAAGATGATTTATTTTGTTAATGTAGGCAGCAGTGATGATTTTACATTTTTTTCCTGTGTTTAAGAAGGATGATCTTGGGATATGATGAAATTTTCAAACTGTGCTATATTTACTGAACTACACTAGTTCAACAACTTCGATATTTTATAAACTAGATGTCCTATTTTTGGATACTACTAGAAATGGAATTTCCTCTTCCATTACTAAGAATAATGCTAACTATATTCTAAGTTGCTTATCAAAACTCAAGAATAAATATAGAAAATGGAGCTGATAAGCCTAAAGATAATTCTGACTTTCATAATAGGTAAAAATTTCTTTCTTCTTAAGGATTTTTTTAAAAATAAAGTCAAGTGAAAAAAAACAAGTTAAAGAGCTACTATATGACATCAGGAGAAGATTGGATATAGGATATTCTTACTCAAATAATCAAACTCTGCCACTTTCCTTGATCTTTGTGCTTATATCAATCCTGATGAGCATGAGGACTACAGTGGAAAGAACACTGACCTAGGAGTAACATTCTGGATTTAAGTTTGGATATAGTCATGACCTCTATATGACCTTGAGCTAATCATTCCAGCTCCCTGGACTATGGGTAGTTTTTTGCTTGTTTTGTTTTGGGACCACATCCAACTGTGCCCAGGGCTTACTCTTGGCATTGTGATCCAATGGTGAATTCTGGTCGTGAATTCTGGAGACCGTACTGGGTGCCTGAGATCCAACTATGGTTGGCTGAGTACAAGTCAAGTACCCTACCCACTGTACTATTGCTCTAGCCCCTGGGTCTGGGTTTTGAATTTACAAAATATAGACATGTCAGAAGTCTTTTTCAGTTTTATGCTTGCTGGTTCAATCCATAACTTTTACATGACAATAAGTATGACAGACTTTGGGTCAGGAGATTGGGGAGAGGGCACATCCAGTAGTGCTCAGGGCTTATTTCTGGTAATGTTCAGGGACCATAGCTGTTGCCCGGGAACAAACCAATATCAGCTGCATGCAACACAAAGCACCTGACATGCTATGTTATCTCTCTGGCCCCAGAAAGTACCATAGAATAAACTAATGAGTTCTTAATTCTTTCCTGCATCTTCACTGTCTCCACGGCTGCACTGTGATCAGTGTGCTTCCCTGCCTCTTGAATTTAGGCTTGGACATGTGACTCCTTTTGACCAACAGTATTTGAATAGATACTCTATAAGCAGAGACCCAAAATGTAGGTTATTCCTTACTGTCTTTCAGCGGAGATCCTTTTGTAGCTTGGACAATTTCATAAAATAAATGTGCAAACAGATAACTGTAATAGCTATATCTTCACTAAATTCACCCCATATTTCATTTCCAGGTCAGTCCTGGTTTGCATCTATTGTTCTGAAACAACAAATTAGCTTTCTTAGAAATTCTATAAAAAGTAGGCTGATTTATATGATTCATTACATAGACAGCATAGAAAAAACTATAAGGTTACTCTGAAAACTTACCTTGTTGACACACAAGTTTGCTACAAAAATAGAGTTAATCTCTTGCCCAACAATCATCCCTGTAATGCCTTCTTTGGATCATAGGTATTTATCAAGATGAAGAAAGAGTGTCCAATCACCTTTCTTCTTACTCTTCAAGAAATCCATATTCTGAGAGACACCCCCTTTGAACACATACTTATGAGGAACCCTAAAGTAGCTGATACTTTTTTTAAAAGGTTGGGCAACCCCCAAATTTAACTAATTTCAAATAAGTTTCCTCTACAGTATAAAGCCTATGTGAGTCATCATACAATATGCTATTTGACAGGACAGTGTAGTATACTATCATTCAATCAAAAGGCCTTGGACCATGACATACTGAGGTACATAACTTTTTATACACTTGGCAAGATTCTAACAATTCATAACACTGACATCTCTCTCCTTTCATCCTAACAACCTCATTTGAGAAATGGCACAGAAAGAAAATTCCAGTCTCAAGTCAGATATTGGTAGCCAGACAGTCTCTGGAAACTTCATTCATGGAAGGCTGGTGCCCTCATAACCTTCCCCATGCTGGCACGGAGCATAAGTACGCCCTCTACGGGCGTCCCGGGATTTTCAGCCATCTTCTGCCAAAGGCGTTGCTCTTCTCCCTGAGAGTCCATCCAGTCAACACTCTTCCCATAGCTCACACCTAAAGAAGTGAAAAGGGAACATTATACTTCATGCATAAAATGTTTTGATCTTGTGGAAGGTGTCTATCAATCTTTGAGAGAGTTTTTTGGGGGAGGCATACCCAGAGATGCACAAGAGTCACTCCTGGCTCTGCACTCAAGAATTACCCGTGGTGGTGCTCAGGGGACCATATGGAATGCTGGGAATCAAACCCGGGTCAGCCGCAGGCAAGGCAAACGTCCTACCCGCTGTGCTATCGCTCTGGCCCCTGAGGGAGTCTTTTGATCAGAGAGAAATTCCCTGACTTGGCTTATTCTTACTATACCTAGTGAGCGATGTTAGTGAGGCAGGCAGATAGATAGGGAAGGGCCCCCATGGCAACAAAATTCTGGGGAAGTAACATGGTCTTATTACTTTACCAGCCCCAAAGCTGCAAAAATCCCATCTTGTGAACACAGTAACTAAGGCCTGATAAGACTGTTACCTGGCACCAGAACAGACCCAGAGAAGGCTTGACACCACCACCTGCTACCCCCACCCCCACCTCCCCAGCCCCAAGAGAAGCTCCAGCAGGAGGAAAGGCCAGGAAAGGATTTTTTCAAAGGATACCATCAACTACTCCCAAATATACCCCCTTGGCAACCACCCTAGCAATGGACTCTTACCTAGGTAGAAAGCCCCATGTGGGACAGCTTGGAAGAAACCCTATAAAAGCCAACTTAAATAAAAGAGGCACGTGCCTATGCTGGCCACGCCCACGCATGTGTCACGATGCCCGAGCACGTGTCACCCACATCTCCCCTCTTGAGATGGGGACTTTCATGCTTTCATAACTAATAATGGAGTGTGTATTGTGGTTCTCTCTGCCTTTGGAGAAGCCCACATTTTCTCTCTCTTTTCTTTTTGGGTCATACCCAGCTAAGCTCAGGGGTTACTCCTGGCTGCTCTGCACTCAAGAATTACTCCTGGCGGTGCTTGGGGGACCATATTGCGTGCCGGGGGATTGAGCTCAGGTCAGCTTTGTGCAAGGAAAACGCCTTACCCACTGTACTATTGCTCTGACCCCGCCCATATTCTCTTTTGAGCTTGTTACCCTCACCCTCTTTCTCTCCCTTGCCCCCCTTCCTGAAAATCTCCAAATAAAATCTTTATTTACTTCCCTGTTCTTCTCCTCCTGAAATTTTTTTGTGTGAAAAAGATAAAGGACCCAAGGCCTAGGACTGACTTTCCTTTCTTGCAAAGAGCAACTCCTCACTCTAGCCTGAGTCCATGGATCCTTGAGAAATCGGGTGGTGAGGATTAACTTCCATGCAGTGCAGAACAAATGGACATCAAATGTGGCTTAACAGCTACCTACTGGGGTTGGCAGGACTTGAGATCCATGTTGTCTCTGGCTTGGCTTATTCTCATTTACAATATAGAGCATATGATGTTAAGATGAAATGCATCCTTCCTAGCCTACACTACTCTCCTAGATAGATGATAGAACAAACTAGCAAGGCCACAATGACTCGTCTCTTTTCCTCTTAGGTGGTTCAGCAGAGAGCTGGCTCAGTTAGACTGAATTAACATGGCAGATAAACAGTTTGAACCGGGTCTTGAAACTCTTCCTTGACAACAAGATCACTTCTTGGGCTGGAGTGATAGTACAGTGGGTAGAGCATTTGCCTTGCATGTGGCTGACACAGGTTTGATCCCTGGTCTCCCGAGTACTGCCAAGAGTAATTCCTGAGTGCAGAGCCAGGAGTAACCCCCTGAGCATTTCTGGGTGTGACCCAAAAAGCCAAAAAAAAAAAGACCACTTCTTTGGGGAGTTTCCAATTTAGTTCAATAGATATTCTCAGTGGTCCTCAATCTATAAACAAGTACAACATTGTAAGGAGGAGTCATTCTCAATAGAAATGTTGGAATGTGGACCATGGTGCACACAGACAATTTAGGTCTGATATAAGCTGTGGGATAATGAGTTTGGAGGTTGCATAGGCTTTAGTACTGCAACCTCCAATCTATCTGGTTATAGTTGTGGCTTGTGGCAATAATGGTACACTTTCATGAACTCTCTGAATAACTTTCGATACTATTTTCAGGAGGAAATTGGATTTCTTTTCAATTTAATCAGTATGAGTAATGACTATGAGCTGGACAGAACTGAAAGGATAAAGCAAAGTTTGTCTTGGATGTCCCTCTCTCACTCTTCAGAGGTTTGTGCTATATTAGAAATCTTCCTCCAAGAAAAGCCCGAATGCCTAAGAGTGTAGGTGAAATTCCTTTAAACTAAAATGCCCATAGAATTTTTTGAAAGGACTGAATATATACATTCTATATCCGAAAATTCTAGCCTAACGATACAAAGTTATGCAGCAGTCTTTAATTTTAACAATGAAGGTCCTTAACTTAAGAAATGGTGCATCCAATTTTACCGGGTGTCTCAGAAGGGAGCAGGTGTTGTCCCTCCACTTGCTCCCTATGAATCCCGGGGGCTGCAAACCTTCAGAACCCAAAGAAAAACCCAGATACTTGGGACCAGTGACTGCAAATTCCAGGCCTCAAGGGATCGGGGATGGGCTGCTCCTTCCCATCTCGCAGCCCCTACCTACGCGGTCCTGGCTGTCATGCCCACAAAATGCCTCTGGATCCCTTTTAAGCGTATTAATGGCTGTGATCCAGAGTCTCACAAATGAATCTCGGAATTGAGAAGCTAGCTACAGAGATTTCTCCAGACCCTAATTATTTAAAATTTTATAATTCCAGGAGCATGCAGCCACTTTTGCAGCTGCATGAACACTCATGCTATTCATAACCAACAATACAAAATAAATGATCTAGCATCTGCCTGTGGGGTAAGCTTGAATGGTGGTGGGAAAATTCAAAATAATAGTAGTGGGAAGGTGTAATAGTGGTGGAATTGGTGTTGAAATATTGAATGCAATCAATGATTGTGAACAACTTTATGAAAATAAAACTTTTGAAAAAAGAAATGGTACATCTGTGACAATTTCAGACACAACTGAAACTACTTAGACACGTCTTACATAGCCACCCGAAGGAACCACTCCCCTACCCCACCCCCAGTCACAGACCATTTCAGGGTCCCCAGAGCTCCTCACCGCTTCCAGAATTCAAACGAACTCCTCCAAGAAAGATGTTGCTGGAAAAGGCCTCTTTGTCCCAGACAGTAAGTTCTAGGCAGACATTATTTATATCCTGTGGTTTCAGGTCACTGAACATGAAAGTATGATTCCATTGAGGGTTAACACTGTTTTTTATTACTGTAGTTTTGTGCTTGGTGGCTTTGTTATCATCAGGGAGCAGGTAACTGCCGAAGAAAACAGTCAGGTCATTAGTGAGGTGATAGGCCGGAAGTGGCATCCTTGAGTAGTCATTTGATTTTCCCATCATTTCTAGTGAATGTGTGTGTGAACTATGAATTTGATTTTTCTCCTGGTTATTATGTTTAAATGTAGATTTATTAGAATGGGTTATTATTTCTTTTAAGTGAGGTAATTGCAAAATGCTCTTGACTCTCCTTCCTAATCTAATTTTGGCTCTTCACTTATCTTGAAATGAAAATACCTTTGGTGGAAAACACAATTTAAAGGCCTTCCTCAGATTATCTTTCACCAGAGTTGACTTACAGCCAGAATGAGCAGCTCCTGGCATGCTGACAGGTTTCCTGTCTCAAGTGTCTGTGTCTCTTGGCTTCTCCAATTAAGGACTTTCTCTGGTGCAGTAAGAACTGGCTCAGCTTATATATAATAAGGAAACTGTGGGGATTTAATTTCCTTAGCAGAAACCTACAATCAGGCTAGAAAGATAGTACAGCAGGTAAGACTCTTGCCATATATGCAGCTGACCTGGATTCAATGTCTGCCATCCTATATGATCCCCTGCAACTGCCAGGAGTGATTCCTAAATGCAGAGCCAGGAATAAGCCCCATGCACAGCTGGGTGTGCTCCCTAAACAAAAGAAACCTACAGTCACTTAATTTTGAAATATGGTGGATGAATTCCTCAGCTTTCCTATCTCTTGAAGGGACAATCCTACCTAAGGTATGTTCCACAGAGCTTCTTCAGTCCCCAGTGGATTTAATCGCTAGTTGCCTGCAGTGGTAACTTGTGATGGATGTGAAATGTACATAAAACTATTATTAACAGTACTGTTTATCACGAAGCCTGAATAAAAATTGAAAGAAAAAAATATTGAGGCTTTTCGAGCTCATGTTCTCTCTTGAACACATATTCCTTTCTTTCCATCCACATCTTTCTAAGTAAATTTCTTCAATAAACAGTCTCACTTCACTTAAAAAATACCAAAAATGATCACCTGGTAATGACTATTGTATCTTACAAATGAAGAACCTCAGAACCTCAATTTCTACTTAAAAAATATTCAGTGATAAAATAACACAGTATGAGACCAACATCCAAGGACAGTAGAGACAAAGGCCAGGAATATTGCTCCAGGGTTGCAAGCCTGCCTTATGAGCTGGGGGAGAAGGCAGCTGGGATAGAGAAGAGATCACTAAGTCAATAATGGTTGGATGGTTGGAGGGATCGCTCGGGATAAGAGATGTGTGCTGAAAGTAGACAAAGGACCAAACATGATGGCCTCTCATTATATATATTGCAAACCATAAGGTACATAAGTAGAGCTAGAGAGAGTAAGAGGGAAATTGTCTGCCATAGAGGAAGGGAGAGGGGTGGAATGGGGGTGGAGGGATATTGGGGACATTGGTGGTGGAAAATGCACACTGCTGAAGGGATGGGTGTTCAATCATTGTATGACTGAACTCAATCATGAAAGCTTTGTAACTATCTCGCGGTGATTCAGTAAGATAAAGAAAGAAAGAAAGAAAGAAAGAAAGAAAGAAAGAAAGAAAGAAAGAAAGAAAGAGATAAAGAGAGAGAGAAAAAGAGAGAGAAAGAGAGAGAAAAGAAATAGTAAGTGTAGTGCAGGGCATACTGTCAACTAAAATTTTGTTTTCTTTTATATTTTGTGGTGGGGGTGGGGGGTGTGCTCTCCCAAGCAGTGCTGAGAGGTTGCTGAGACCTGATGGTTTTAGTGGTCAGGCCTGTCGTACCACTTTGGAGGTCATGCAATACCAGAAATGAAACCTGGGGACCTAGATTGCATGCAAGACATGTGCTCCATTCCTTTGAACTCTCTCTCTCTCTCTGAGCCCTGTCAAGTAAGTTTTAGTACTTTCCATTATTTATTCAGGAACATTTTTCTGTAATGCATGTTACCTATTAATTCTTTGTTATTTTATGCTTCATTCAATGTTAAATATTTTGTGACAACTTTTGCTATTTTCTTTTTGTTTTTTGGGGGGGAGGTAACATGCTCACATGGCTTAGTTACACCTGCCCCTGTGTTCAGGAATTGCTACTGATAGTGCTCAGGGGTCCTTCTGGTAGCTGGGGTCAATCCACATGCAATACATGTGCTTCAGCCCTTTGAGTTTATCTCTCAGGTCCAGTTTTTGATACTTTAAAATTTAGCTATAGAAAAGTAATGCTGACGGGCTAGAGAGATAGTACAGCAGGGAGAGCATTTGCCTTGTATGTGGCTCACCAGGATTTGATCCCCAGAACCCTAGCAAAAACCAAAAAGAAAGGGAGGAAGGAAGGTTGAGTATTATGTTTATCATTTATTAAGTTTTTTAAAAAATTAATATTTGATAGAATTAATGTAAATATGGTTTAATTGACCTGGCAAAATTTCCAAAAATTAAAAAAACAGCCAAGATTCAAAGGAAACTCTTTCATAATATATTTATTTATTTATTTATTTTTTGTTTTGTTTTTTGGGTCACACCCAGCGATGCTCAGGGGTTACTACTGGCTCATGCACTCAGGAATTGTTCCTGGCGGTGCTCAGGGGACCATATGGGGTGCTGGGAATTGAACCTGTGTCGGTCATGTTGGCTGCGTGCAAGGCAAACGCCCTACCCGCTGTGCTATCATTCCAGCCTCTCATAATATATTTAGAATATGAACATGGATGCCTCACCGTGACTGATATCTCTTGTATCATAGATCCTTTAGTCTAGAACAAAATTATTTAAAATGAGTTAAAACAAATTACCCCTTCACAAAGCTATCAGAGGTTCCTCCTGACTTTGCCGCAGTCAAATTTTTTGCCTCTTTGATGAACACTTCAAGCACTCCTCCAGAAAGTATAGGTGATTCTTTCTTCCCTCTTGTAAAAGTCTTCTTCACTGCATCAGCCATAAAAATAAGAGAGGGAAGAGAAGAAGGAAAGTGAGAAAGATGGTGGGTTCCATTTCAAAATTTACAAAGAAAATCTGCAAAGTTATTTTTTTCTTTGCTGACCCAATGAGGTCTTTGTGTTTGTGTATTTTTTCTATATATTCATATGACTTTATTACATTGAATTCCTTCTGAGTAAAATTTTCATTTGTTTTTCATTTGTTTGTTTCTAAAATGAACAAATAATTCAAATATTTAAGCACTACAAGGTATATTTTTATGGGGTATAAAAGCATAAAATAGAAAACCTGGGTCACATTCCTGCTCCCAAGAAAAAGCTACATTGAAAGCCGCATAATAGCACCAAGATTCAGTCCCCCCCAATTCCATAGCTACCTTATTTGATATCTTAGTTGTGTAAAATGTAAACTCCAAGTAGGATCGGCAATAAAAGCAATGGACTAGGCAGAATTACATATATGCATGACAGAAAATTCTCCCCCATGTCACATTTTAATTTTGATAAAATATGATAAATATGGATAAAATATAGATAAAGCCTTTCAACACTGCCATTGCCACCTCTATCAACTAGCATTGTAAGGACTTGATATGAATTAATGAATTTATTTGATTCTTAAAATATCTTTTTAAAGTGAGAAAACTGAGGCTGAGAGATAACTAGTTACTTGCACACATTGTGGAAGAGGATGAAGTGAATGGAAAGAGAGACGTCTGTCCATTCAAGTTGATAGAAAAAGGAGAAGAGGGATTCAAAAGTTGTCTCCATCTGGAGATTTTCCTTTGCATTCTGTGTCCTAGGTCAACTTCTGTTTCTAGATTCCCTGAAGTAGCTTTGGATGTTGTGAATCTATAAAGCAGCTTTCTACATCTATGCCCCTTCTCAGAAGACCCTCTTCTTATCTGTGCCCCTCTTTTCTCCCAGTCCATCCTAGGGAAAATTCTTCATTGCTGAGACATCTAGAAAATATCATCATCAAGGCTGATTGTTTTCTAGAGGACACACTGATGATACTCGCAGGATAAACTCAGGGCCATACACATATAAAGCATGGACTCTACTGTTTGAGCCATATTCTTGGCCCCGAGACTGTTTTCTAAGTATGAACATAGTAGTTTCCTTGTCAGAGTCCCACACTTTTCACCACATGTTGTAGGTCTTAACTCTCGCCCAAACAGTGGTACCCAACCCTTTACATATCGTATGTATAGAGCCAGAGTGACACAGTGCAACAAATCCCTAATTCTCATCCCCAAACTTGTAGAAAAAGAATTGCTGGATCAAAATAATTCGGTTTTACTGTACCTTGAAGTGGTTCCAGTGGAAGCATTAGGTTTGCTCTTGAGGGAATGTAACGTAAAGTAACTGTCAGTTCTCCTTTGTACTGATGATGGGTATCAGCAACTAACTCCACCTTCCATAGGGAGACAGGTGAAAAGAAATTGCAAGAATGCTTGTATTTTTATTGATTCATTTTTTCAAAAATTTTAGGCGATACCCCACGATGCTCAGGGGTTACTCCTGGACCAATGCTCAGAAATCACTCCTGGCAGTGCTTGGGGGACTATATTGAATACAAGGGATTGAACCTAGGTCGAACATGTGCAAGGCAAATGACCTACCTGCTGTACTATTGCTCCTGCCCCTGAGGTTTTTAGTTTTGTATCGCATGTTTAAATGGATAGTATATACTTGGTGGCCAAACTGTGACCATTAATTCCATCAATTATATTATCAATTACTGATTTAAGGGCTGCCTTGAGAAGCTGGGAAACTCTATGAAAGTGCTTGCATTATAGTCAGATAATAGTATTTTTTAAAAGAGAGAGAGAGAGATTCACTTTCCATTAGAGTGAGAAGCAAAGACTTCTCAATAGCAAAATTATAAACAAATCTGCCCAAACTGCCAAACAAAGAGAAACCTCTTCATCTAAATTGTAAATCCATAGGAACTGAAGGTAGAATAGAGATTTTACTGGAAAGAAACACTTAAGCTTACTGTTGTGTCAAAAGTCCTTGTTTTCATAATAGAACATTTGGGGAACATATGAAAAGCAATTCATACCAACAAGCCCTTCTTTTCTTCCCACCAAACATGCTTTTCAGAAAGATAATGAGGTCTAGCTAACAATGAATGTAGTAAAATGACAGTTACACCTGCCCCATCCCCCTTTAAGCAATACATTTGCCATCTTGAGTTATTTTCTCATGCAGTATCAGCCTCCTCAATGGCTTAGTGCTATAAGACCTAGTGAAAACAAAAGTAAGTGCCAAAGGACTTTCATGAAGAGTCAATAAACAACATGGCACTTTGTCTTTCCAATATTCCCACTACAAAAGAATGTAACTATTTCTGAATATTTAAAGACTGTAAATTCTGATCCTCTGTTACTAAGGGAATTGGTCCCTGTAGTTCATACATCATCTCCTCAGCTGGAGAATCTATAAGAAATATTAAGTCTCTGGGGCTGCTCCTACTATAGCTGTAGCTGATTAGGTGATGATTGCTCTTAAATGACTGAGACAGGAGACAAAGAATGAAGTGATACTTCTCAGAGCTAACTGATAATCAAGCACACAGAGCTCAGCTCAGCCTAAAGATGAGCCACTAATGAAGCATAAAGCAAGGTACCAAGCATGTTTTTGCTCCCGTCCACCCTGTTTTTGGAACGAGTTGTATCCAAGCAAGTCTGAATCAAAAGTCCGTGTGTGCCAGAGGAAGCATAGCAGAGTAAAATGACAGGGATTAGAAACACTGTTGACAGCCACAGAAACTGATTGTAAAGTGAGGATTCTTAGGCAACTAACTTAGCAGAGAAGTGCTCTAGGAGAGTCCAGGGAAGAAGAGGACAAGAAGCAGTTCAAGGAAGGGTGGAAGTCAGGCCAGGATGCGACCTCTCTGGTCGAGAACTCAAGTTAACACATTGGAGCTTTTTTTCCCCCCATTCTTAGGTAAGGAGTGGTGCTTTCAAACATGCTTCTCTTTCAGTTACTGGCTAAGGATTTTGCCTATGTGGCGGGAAGTACATTAGCTCCTAGGAACTTCTGGTTCTCTTCTCGTACAGGAAAAAGTGAGTAACCAAGAACCATTTTCTAAAGAGAGTCTCAGATGAAGACTGGAGATAAAACTCTGATAGACCTGGTTAGAGGATCATCTGGGGGACCAGTGGAATTCCACAGATATGAAACACAATCATAGCTTCTGTATGCTTAGCGGGATCCGAGAGAAGCCTCCCCCTTATGGTAGAAAGTGAGGTGATCCAATGGGAATGGGAATCGTTGTTGGGCCTTAAGTCCCCGAGAGAGGGCCTAGATGGCCATTTCCAGGAAATAGACTAGAAACCCTCCAAGTTAATTTCCACAGATTCACCATGTGCTTTAAAGTTAAATTTATGGCAGGCAAGTTAATTTTATGAACTACGGTACTGGTACCTCACCCATGTCCTGCCTCTTCTTATGCCTTGGACATTTTCAAACTATGAGGCTTTTATTCTTAATTCTTATAAAGGTAAAGGTAAAGGTAAAGGCCCTCCCGTTGATCATCGATTTGCTCGAGCGGGCCCAGTAACGTCTCCATTGGAGACTTTGTTGTTACTATGTTTGGCATATCGAATATCGGTAGCTTGCCGGGCTCTCCGAGAGGGGCGGAGGAATCGAACTCGGGTCGGCCATGTTGGCCGCTTATAAGGCGAACGCCCTACCGCTGTGCTATCGCTCCAGCCCTTTATTCTTATAAAGGGAAGCTGTTAAATCATATTAGTACTATTCTTTATGATGATATTTTTCATTCAATTTTAAGGCACTAAATTGTTTCCCATATTTAATATCAGAGGAATATTATGCTTGATCACTTGACTTCCCGTTAATTGTCGATTTACTCGAGTGAGTGCCAGTAATGTCTCCATTTGTCCCTGCCGCGTGCTAGTGTAGCCCAATGGCGTCTGTTCGTTCTAGGAACACGAAGAGCCTCAAACCGATCGTTCTTGATCTTGATGAAGAAGTCTGACCATTTTGTAGGTGGGTGGCCACGTGCTCTTTTGACGTCCCATGGAATCCAGTCGGTAATGGCTCTAGTCCAGTGGTCGTCTCTAAATCTCATTACGTGTCCAGCCCATCTGATTTTTGACATCTTGGCAAACGAGACAGCGTCCCTGATTCTTGATCGTCGACGGAGGTCAGAACTCCAGATTCTTTCTCTCATTTGAGTGAAATGTGATATTCCAAGCATAGCTCTTTCAATTCCTCTTTGGGAGACCCGAATAGCGTTCTCATCCTGTTTGCGTAGGGCCCAGGTCTCTGAGGCGTATGTTAATGCAGGAAGAAGAGTGGAATCAAAGAGATGTGCCCAGAGCCGGAGGTTCTTTGTCCTCTTAGCTATTTCTTCGATGCTCTTGAAGGCGTTCCAAGCCACTCTCTTCCTCCTGTGCAGGTGCAGGTCATTCATCATGTTTACTTCTCGACCTAGGTACACATAACTGTTGCATTCGGAGATGGTCGTTCGGTTGAGAGTGAATAGAGTCAGGAAGGAGGCTGTTTCTCATAAACATTGTCTTTGTAAGATTCAGCTGTAGTCCGACCTTTCCACACTCACGGTAATTACAAAGGGTCTCATTCCCCTGACCCCGAAAGAGTCATATTATGCTATTGCAGAATTATTTGTTGTTAATTCTGTGTTTCCTATCCCTATCACATTTGTTAGACAGTAGTTAGTAGTTACTTTGTGTTTTATGATTTGTGTTATATTTTAGTGTCAATTTTACCCATAGCCTAATTATACCTCTTAAAGTTTTTTGATGCATTTAAGTCCAAGTATGATAAGTCCAACAGAGATAAGTGCTCACCAGAAAGCCATATTTACTTTCAAAGTGTCAGTGTTATTAAATAATATGGAGATATTGATACTTACCTCATAGGTTGGCTATAAATCCCCCCTGAAACATGAGTGATACTGCTGTTGATGATGATCAGTGTTTGTTACTGTTGATGAAAATCAACATTTGCTTTTGCTGTCTAGAATCCCTTAGTACTTCTGTACCTGGATTTTCTTTGGAGAAATACCATCTCCATGACCAGAGTACGGGCTTATTGTCTTCAGCGAGTTGGGGTAGCTTACCTCCCTGGCCACAGGAATTAGTTCGGAATGAGAAAATAAAGTAATGAGGATTAGAAGAGCCAGGACCAAGAGCATTGGTTGGACTGTTGGAGGAAGACATACTCTCTCCTCTCTTACATAGTGATGCAGGGGTGGGAGGCTTACAGTTGCTCAAGTGTCTAAGATCTATAGCTGTCCAGGACTATAGCTAGTGAGGGAAGCCCACACAGATGAGAAAAACTTTGGGTTTAGATAAGATTAAAGAATCTGGATCAAATCATACTTGATAAGCACTGACAATAATTTCCTTTTATATCCTCTTAGTGTTGTAATCTGGCATTTCTGTCAATTGCCATGTAAAGACTCATATAACATGGGAGCTACCTAACAATTGTTGTGTACAATGTTTCTGACATTATAGTGCAAGTATCACATGGATTGCAGCTCAAGCCTCATAGGATCCTTCTAAGCTAATTTTAATCATTACATTACAAAGGCTCAGTAAGTTATATAATGTGCCCAAAGTAACACAGTCGTAAGACCAGGGCTGAACCCAGAAAGTTTGAGTCCACCATCATACTATTTTCATTCATTTTAATATAAAAAATAATCTTTCTTTTCATTATAGGTAAATTTAATCTTACTTTTGTTTTAAGATTACTGTAAAGGTATAGAGACTCCAGTTTCATAAAATGAATCCAAGATACTGTTGATCTAGTTTAGAACATACTATGTTGGCATTTAATTTCTAGGACCAGTTTTGAAATTAATTTTCTGAATATAACTCAAGGCCTGAGTTATGAATCTCTAAGTAGAAATGTAGAAAATAAGACACTTCAGCTACTATCACTTTGCCATGTGAGCCAAGCAAGACAAGATCACTTTTGCTTATGGAAAATATTTTGAGATGGACCTTGCTCTATAGATATGTTTCTGCCTATAAGTAAATGAAGATATTTTTCTCTAATAGGATCAAATAGTATGAATTTCCATGGAAACCTTTAAATGATTAATGGCTTTTAGTAAACCAAATAATAAAAATTATTATGTGGCTTGCAGAGAACAAAAGGGAATGCCCTGCCACAGAGGCAGGATGGGATGGGGGGAATAGGGGGTGGGAGGGATGATGGGACCCGTGGTGGTGGAGGATAGGCGCTGGTGGAGGGATGGGTACTTGATCATTGTATAACTGAAACCCAAGCACAAAAATTTGTAAGTCTATAACTGTACCTCATGGTGTTTCACTAATAAATAAATAAATAAATAAATAAATAAAAAAGAAATATATATCACCATTTTACCTTTTAAAAAATATTATGTGGCTTGCAGTATATAGTCTATTATGCCAATATTAACCATGCTAACCTTTTCAGACTGTCACTTGACAAGCCTTTGAATTCTTTAAGTTCATGGCATCAATTCTGCTGAACTTGTCTAGTTGCATAAGTGACTAATCTGGAAGCATTTCCTACCTTGGGCTGAAGCTCAAACCACATGTCACTTGTGTTTTCAAAGTTCCATGAGTCAAAATGAATCTCCACCTCTCCAAGGAAGCTATTATGTCCGAATCGATCATAGTGCCAGACTGAAAGCTGCAGAATTCTAGTTTCCAGCTGGGTGTGGCTGATAGTGTACTGCAAAAAAAATTTTCAACATCATCTTCCACAAAAAGGACCCTGTTCAATTCCAAAACCAAGTTAAAATTTATTTCCATCATTTAAATAATGTGCATTAGTAATATGAACCAGACAAAGAAGAAAACAAGTCATTTTGCTGAAATCAGTCAGACATAAATATACAGATTATTTAGGGTTTGTGAAGTTAAGTTCCAGATATGCAGGAAAGGAGTGATCAAGCATATTACCTTTTGGAGTCTGAGCAATAGTATAGTGGGAAGGGAACATGCTTTGCATGCAACTGACCTGGCTTCTATCACCAGCATCCCTATGGCCCTGTGAGCCCCACCACTAAGCACAGAGCCAGGAGTAACCTCTGAGCAGGGAGTACCCCTAAACCAAAAATGAATGAACTGTCACTGTCACTGTCATCTCGTTGCTCATCAATATTCTTGAGCAGGTGCCAGAAAAGTCTCCATTCGTCCCAGCCCTGAGATTTTAGCAGCCTCTCCTTACTCATCCTTCCCAACGGTGCCGTATTGGAAACTCTTTCAGGGTCAAGGGAATGAGACCCAGTATTGATACTGTTTTTGGCATATCAAATACGCCACAGGGAGCTTGCCAGGTTCTGCCGTGCTGTTCACAATCATGCCTCAGAAAATCAAGTACTGGGGCTGGAGCGATAGCACAGTGGGTAGGGCATTTGCCTTGCACGCGGCCGACCCTGGTTCAATTCCCAGCATCTCATATGGTCCCCTGAGCACTGCCAGAAGTAATTCCTGAGTGAAGAGCTAGGAGTAACCCCTGTGCATCGCCAGGTGTGATGCAAGAAGAAAAAAGAAAAAAAAAGAAAATCAAGTACTTCAGAATCAGCTTAACTAAGGAGGTAAAGGACCTGTACAAAGAAAACCAATCACTGGGGCTGTAGTGATAGTACAGCGGGTAGGGTGTTTGCCTTGCACGCGGCAGACTGGACCAGAGTTCAATCCCTGGCATCCCATATGGTCCCAAGCACTGCCAGAAGTAATTCCTGAGTGCAGGCAGAGCCAGGAGTAACTCCTGAGCATAGCTGGGTGTGACCCAAAATGCAAAAAAAAAAAAAAAATCACTTTCAAATGCTAACAAGTCCCTGATCTGGCCCTACAGAGAAGTGTGGCCCCTACTCCAATTTATCTAATATCCATTTATCATACACCTTAACTTAGCCAGATTCTGAAACCCTAACTAAATGGAACATATTCAAAATGTGTTAGAAGAACAATGAATGCATACAAAGTGACCTGCTAAGATATTGTCAAAGTGTGATAAACTTCTTTCAAGAAGAATCAAAGTGTGATAAACTTCATTTAAGAAAAAATCAGAAGAATACAGCTTTCCTAAGTATGAAAGAAAATTTGCAACATGATATAGCAGCACACATATAATTTTGCTGAATCATCTTGAAATAAGATGCAACTGCAGCAACAACAGAGAAATAAACCAGAAAGAACAATTCCATTTTTCTCTTTTCCAAAACTGTGAGGAAACTTACGGGTATTAGGATAACTTATACAAATTTTACTATTCCGAAATATATATGAACATTGACATGCAAATTTTCTGTATTTCTAAAATCAGTGAGACTGTGAGATCCCTTGAGTTACAGTGAGAAGGTATTTACCTTTAGTGTTTCATTAAATTCTGGGTTGGTGCCTGTTCTGATTTTGGTCTTGCGTTTATTGTTTCTGGACTTCCCAGGAAGGAGATATGACTTCACATAACTGCAGATAATAAAAGACAGAAGTAATTATTGGTAAATATTCTACAAAATGCTCAGGGACTTTAGTAAATTAAAAAGGTAAACGGAGGGCTGCAGAGAATATAGCAGGTAGGACACTTGCCTTGCATGTGGCCAACCTGGGTTCAATCCCTAGCACCATTTATGGTTTCCTGAGCCCTGTAGGAGTGATCCCTGAGCCCAAAGACAGGAGTAAGCCCTACACACCACCAGATATGTACTCTCCAACGCCCCCCCCCCCCCACACACATACACAAAAAAATGGTAAAGGGAGAAGACCTGTAAATGTGAGACAGAGACAAAGTGAATGTGCCCTATATCTATACAGGACAAGCAGTATAGTGGTAAAGTGTGAGTTTGTGATTCAGGTCAGTTGGGTTTTAATCACTCCTTGCCTTGCTGGCTTATTTTCATGAACTAAAGAAGTTACTTTACTTCTTTCTGCCTCAGTTTCTTATCTATAAACCTGGTTTAATTGTAGCCCATGAGTTTGTGAGGACTAAATTGGGTGACACTGGACCTGATATATTATATTATGCATAACTATAATCTAATAATGATCACCAAAATATTTGGGATCTATACTTTCCATTTAAACATTGACTTTTGATGAGAGGCAATGGAAATAGATGAAGAAAAATGGTTACAAAAAGAATTAGAAGATAATAGCCTAGGGGCTGGAGCAGGTAGGGAGTTTGCCTTGCACGCTGCCGACCCAGGTTTGATTCACAGCATCCCATATGGTCCCCTGAGCACCACCAGGAGTAATTCCTGAGTGCATGAGCCAGGAGTAACCCCTATGCATCGCCGGGTGTGACCCAAAAAGCAAAGAACAAACAAACAAGCAAAAAAAGATAATAGCCTAAAGTCACAATAGGATAGTCGTAATTCACAATTCGAAAATAGTAGCCTAAAGTCACTAATGTTTCTCATAACTTGCCTTGAGCTATTACAAGACCCTCATGAAGCAGAGGCATCATGGGAGATTCAGAAATGGACAAGATGCTATCTTCATCTTGAAGCATATCCACTTGAGCTTCCCCACTCCCCCACCTCCCTGCCTCCAGACCCCACAATTTTAGTGGTTTTTTTTTATTGAATCACTGTAAGATACAGTTACATGGTTGATTATGATTGGATTTCAGTCATACAATGTTCCAACACCCATCTCTCCAATATACAACACATTTCTCTCCAACACCCCCAGTTTCCCTGCTTGAGCTTTTCATGACAACTTTGCATGTTAGTCTAGATCACTATGTTGGTCTGAAGCTTTCTGACTGATAGTTAGCTCAGGTGACAGGTGGACCAAACTATCTGCAGAATCCTTTTGTTTCTTTATCTCAGGACATTTGGAAACAGTATTTTTTTAACTATGGGCATTTTTATGCAGAAAAGGGGTAACACAGAAGGCCTGAAATAGCTAACCTTAGAAATGCCTGCTTACAAGATGGGCCTTTGGCATCTGAGAACATGCACTTCGAGAAGATTTTCATCATTCCCAGAGTGATGTAAGTGGCTTACTGTGATTAAACTAGTGATTTAAAAAAATGGCTTATTCCAAATACCTGCTTTTGTTGTGGGAGATGGAAATTTTAGTATGTTATATGTTGTGTCTCTAAATGAGCTTTCCTTGTAGATGACATTGTACAAGAACTGTCACAACTTGTTACTGGAAAAAATTATGCACGTGCCATGCCACATCACTAGGAAAGGACACTTGGCATATTAAATGTTGATTCTCCAGGACTTTGCCTCATGTGCCTTTTCCTTTTGCCACTTTGACTATATGTGAAGTTCTGTGATTCCACATAGTCAATCACTGAAAGTAATAAAGGTTTTAAAGACACAGACCACGAAAATATTTTTTAAGTCAATTCTAATAAATATTCCAACAAAATAGTCTGTATCTGCCCTCCCAGGCTTATCCCCAGAGATTCTTAAACTTTTCTTTTTGAGTTGTTCAGTTGGTAAAACTTTAGTCATTTTTGCTTGTTTGCTTTTATTAGGTTTTTTTTTTGTTGTTGTTGCTGTTTTTGCACTATGCCCATCAGCGCTCAGGGATCACTGCTGTCAGTATCCTCAGGACTATATGTGGTGCAGGAATTGAACCCAGGTTGGCCGCATGAAGGGCATGCAGCTTTCCCATTGTACTTTCTCTCCCTCCAGCCCTACATCTTAGTTATTTTCTTTCTTTTTTAGTGGGGAGGGGAAGTGGTGAGGGCCACACACTGTAGCATTTAAGGGTCACTCCCGATTCTTTGCTCAGAAATCACTCCTGGGGTGGGGTGCTCAGTGGACCCTGTGTGGTGCTGGGAATCAGAGCGGGGAGAGCTGCATGCAAAGCAAGCCCTATAACGTCTCTAATATCACTCTAGTCCAGTAATTTTCTCTGGAGAATTTCCCAGGATTAAAAAAAGAATAGAATACTCTTATACATTGTTGGCTGTCAGCTAACAGGTCAACTTTCTATCTCCAAGAACTGTTTCTGTATAAACTATAAATATGACAGGGTTGAATTACCTTGAGAAATAGCTCTGTAAAAAACAGGTAGTGGTGGGCACAACCATACACATGGACTTTCAATAATCCTTAGAAATGCAGCATGGGTGGAAAGTGACTTTTTTCCGAGAAAACTTTGAGTCAAAAATTCCAAGGCCTAGGGCTGGAGCAATGGCACAGCAGGTAGGTCATTTACCTTGGACGCAGCCTACCCGGGTTCGATTCCCAGCATCCCATATGGTCCCCTGAGCACGGCTAGAGGTAATTCCTGAGTGTAGAGCCAGGAGTAACCCCTGAGCATCACCGGGCATGAACCAAAAAGCAAAATAAATAAATAAATAAATAAATTCCAAATTCCAAGACCTGGGACTGGAGCAATAGGACCATGGGTAGGATGCTTGCCTTGTAAGAAGTCAACCTAGGTTCAATCCCTGGCACTTTATATGGTTCCCCAAGTACTGCCAGGTGTGATCCCTGAGTGTTCAATCAGGAGTGAGCACTGAGTACCACTGGGTGTGGCCAGCCCCTCCCCACCAAAACAGAATCCCGAGTTTTAAGAAAAATACCAGTGTAGCAACAAGGCAGTGAGTGAAACAGTCTGCGGAGTACATTATATGCTTACGCATCTGTCCTCTGTCTCTTTTCATCTCCTATGGCTAGATTTCTGCAATGCTTGACCAAAATGTACAGTCCTCCAGTTTTGTAGCAGTAGCTAATACGCAGAAGGATCTCGCCGCTGACCTTCACATTCCCGTAGTCTCCTGTTTCACTGTAAACACTAATCATGCTATTAAGGCTGGTCTGGAAGAAACAAGATTAAAATAAAAGATGAATCCAATGCTATTTTAATCAGTCATCTCTTCACAGAACCCACCCTGCCAACCCCTTCTTTCAACTAAAGCACGTGGCATTTATTTGAAAAACAAAACTGGGATACTCCGGGTGAGAGAAAACAAAAATGACTTGTTTTTCTGGTGGTGTATTAAATCCAAGCCTGAGTGAGAGCAAAGAAATCTCAGGTGGCGAGAAAGGAAAGCAGAAAACTTGGTGAAAGGAGCAGCACTACTTTTGAAAATTAGTGAATAGTACTTCTTTATCCTTTTCCCAGTTGAAAACAGGGGCAGTGCGGTAGTTAAAATTCTACCTCCTCTCTCCATCCTCATAACTTTCTTCCTTGACAGTGGGAGACTTAAGGCTAGTGGACTTACAGATCTAGACTACACTGATTGAGACAAAGGAAAGATGATTTCAATATCTGTGTTAGCAGGAACCACAGGCTCCTCTGACACCCATCGAGAGCATCCCACCAGTCTCTGGGGAGAGGGAGATGCCGGTTTAACAAGAGCATGACAGGAGAAAGTTAAAATCGCACAGCTGCCAGCTTTCCCCTGACCAGCTGTATGACCACATGGTAGCACAAGACACTCTGTTGAACAACAACCCATTTTGTAAACCTCTATAAAATAGCAACTCACAAAAACAAAACGCTCAACAATAAATTAGTATGCCTACCTATAAATAATGTAGACAATCAGTCCAAATCTACCAGAATGAATGAATTACCCACTAGACACTAATGGTATGAGACATATTTTCAATTAAATGTAACAAAATTATCTTTTGGTGCCAGAAGCACAAACTCTGTATCTTAGCAACACAACTGTCACATAAGACCACCTGGGAGGCATACATTAGTGACCCACTACTTTCTGAAGCCCTGTCTGTGAACCACTGGGCATTAAGTATGATGGGATCAGCAAAGAGAATTTAGATTTCTTTTCCCTTTACAGTCATCATATTCTTCTAATTGCTCAGAGACGAGACTTATAAAAGATCAGGATACAGGCGATGCGGCTAAGTCTCTCTTCTAAACTTAAGTCAGGGCAAGAGCAAAGCAACTATTCTATAGTAATTTGGAAGTGTTGATTTAAAGAGAGTAGTGAGTGATGTAATTTATTTCCAGTTTATAAAAAACAGCAGAATTTTCATTAGCAGGTTGCTCTGAGCAATGATTATCAAGCTTCATTTGTATTTATTTATTATCAAACTTCATTTGTATTTATTTATATGTATTGAAGGCTATACCCTGCAGTGCTCAGAGGTCACTTGTTGTGGGTGGGGGGCCCATGCAGTGCTGGGGTTGTATACAAGTAGGCTGCATACAAGGCGAGTGCCTTCATTCGTGTTCTATCTCTACAAGCTGTTTAAAACATTAATTACATTTAAGTCTCCTAGGGATCTGGATAAAATGAAGATTCTGGCATGAGACTCTGCTTTTTTAGCAAAGTTCTAGATCTACAGTTCCCAAAACGGTGTCAAAGCAATCTAAAACATCATAGCAAATTCAGAGTCAGAACCAGGAATTTTAAGTCTTCAAGGGAAAGAGTGAGATCTGTCAATCACCATGCAAATGTCTATCAACAGTAAATAATTCTTTAGGGCTGGACAGATGGCCCTGCGGTCTGGAGCACATGTTTTGCATGCAGAAGGCACAGGTTTGATACTCAGCATTGCGTGGTTCCCTGTCAAAGAGCAATCCTGGAACATTGCTGGGGTGTGGCCCTAAAGCAAATAAAGAAAATAATAAACTGTACTTTATTCTCTTCTTGTGTTGAGGGATCAAATCTGGCAGTACTCAGGGCTTACACATGGCTCAGTGCTCAGGGATCATGCCTGGTGGGGCTTAAGGGACCATATATGGTTCTGGCTCAAACCTGGGTCAGCCAGGACCAATGCAAGCACTTTATCCACTGTACTATCTTTTCAGCTTACTTTGTTTTGCTTTGTTTGTTTGTTTGTTTGTTTGTTTTTCAATAATGTCCCAGAATGTGTAAAACTGAACTTTGGTAGTTTCTGTGGCTAGAGTTTTTTTTAATGGCAATTCATATGGTATAGCAATTAAAGGTGATGAGGTCCAATCAGATTTCAAGATTTGACAAATCATGCAGTGCCCAGCAGACACACACAACTCACTGGTAAGGGCATTATAGGCTAGTTAAAAATGGAAAGCCAACATTTTTCATTTCTATTTGCATGCATTATTTTATTTTCAAGCAACTGCCAAGTTTCAGTACTAGTGTTCATTAAAATTTTTTAAGCTACTAGTAAATGAGCGAGTTCGGTGTTATTTTTCACCTTTGACTGCTATTACTGAAACACTAGGTACTAGGACGACTGGCAAAGTTTTAGTTTCTGATCTAGGTGGTACAAAACCACTGGCTTACTGACCATGCCTTGAGGTTTAAAGGTTCCTAGAATAAGCCATAGTCCCTTTATAGTACAGAAAAGTCTGGCTCACCAAAAGTATTTATAGTGATGATTCATTAAAAAAAAAGTAAGATAGTAGCTTACTCTCTCAAGTCTGTGTTACTTTCTTGAACATGTACTCCTCTCTTTCTCTACCATCACACCTAAGTAAATTTTATTTAATAAAAACTATCTTGCTTCACTACAAAAAGGCAAGATAGTACAGTGGTTAGTGTGCATGCTCAGGGTTAATTCCCAGCACCTCATGGTCCCTCAATCATCACTAAATCCTTGTACTCTTGAGCTGAATCTCACACTGAATCTTGTGCTAAACATGGCTGAAAATTGCCAGTGGGATCCCTGGAACTCCTGAAAACCTCCTGGGATACTCCTCTCAAAAAAAGAAAAACAATGTTTCTAGACTTTTAGTCTGAGAATCTGTTTTTTTTTCTTTTTGGGTCACACCCAGCGATGATCAGGGGATACTTCTGGCTCTGCACTCAGGAATTACTCCTGACAGTGCTTGGGGGACCTATGGGATGCCAGAAATTGAACTCAGTTCGTCCGTGTGCAAGGCAAATGCCCTACCCGCTATACTATTGCTCCAGTCCCTAGTCTGAGAATATTATCACCATACCCCTCTATAGTTACATTTCCAATGACAATCTGTTATCATCAAAGAACTTTACAGACAGAAGACCATTTGAGAATCCCCACATGTTGAAGTATGGGAGGAATGAGGAAGTTATGGCAATTTTATTGCTAACTAATTTTTATGCTCTTCACCAAGCCTAAATTAGGTTTATTATAAAGGTATCTCATGAAGAGTAATAACTGGGTACCAAATGTCTGTTTACTGGCATTGAGATTCTAATATTTAACGAATGTTATTTCTTTGGGATACCTGGATTCTGATGAGCTCACTTATCCTTTACAAGAGAAACTAGCTAACTGGAGAAAAATCTGAAAGAGATAAATCTGGAAGACTTATCCACCTACACATATCATAACACACACCATAACAGATGTCAAGTATGGTACAAGAAAGTAAAAGGAAAGACTGGAAACTCACAGTGTCTGAGTCACCATCGGGCACATTTAGGTAGCTCCATTTCCTGTAAGAGCCTGCTTGAGAATTCTTTAAGGAAGTTGCCCAAAGGTCAAAAAGAAAGAGTATTAGAGCAACAAGCAGAAACCACAGAAGCAAAGAAAAGAGAAGCACATAGTAAGCCACAGAGACAGAGAACTCCTAAAATCTACCTCTTACATAAAGCCTTGAACACTAATGTAAAAAGGAAATTAATTCTACAGGCAGTAGGACACTATTGATAGTATTTGGGTAGGAGTGGATATGATTGGTTGCACATTTTAGGAATGCGACTAAAAGCAGATAAAGATAGTTTGGAAACCTTGAGAAAATGGTGGTAGGGAAATTTATCAGAACAGTTTCTAATAAGCACACAGTTAATGTTGCTAATAGATTCTTGTAAAATGTAACTTTAAATGAAGTGATGCGTAAATTAAAAAGTTTCTCCAATAGCATTATTCAGCTCAACCTGAGCCCAGATAATATTTTCCTCGTCAAGATTATAATGAAATAGCAGTGAATGAAATTACATTATTTGAGGACTTGCCATGTAAGTCTAAACTGATGTTTAGGGTGGGAAGAGGTTTGAAAACTGGGGTGAGGACCATAGAAGCAGGGAGAAGCAATCAACAATCTTAAGAAAGGCACATTTAGAACTATATTAAAAAGAACTCAGTTGATAAAGAGAAAGCGGGCAATAATGACATTTAGCCATTAACATACATTTCTACAAGAATGTTCATACCTACTTCGCAAATACACAGAACTTCAAGTAAAGAAAGCAACAATTGCTAGCATGGACTAAAGGACTACATACGGTTGACAGGCCACTTGCTAGACTGTAGGTGTTGGGAGAAAGCCGGGAAGACACTAAGTTTTGAATACCTTGTTCAGTCATTCTCATGGAAACCTAAAAAAAAAGAAAATATCAGAAGTTTCTTTGACTTCAATAACCATTCTTTCTGTTGTTTTGTTTTGTTTTGTTTTGTTTTGGGGCCCCACCAGGCAGCACTTAGGCTTACTCCTTGCTTGGCACTTATGAATCACTCTTGGCAGTGCTTGGGGACCATATGGAATGTCTGGAATCCAACCCCAGTCAGCCATGTGCAAGGCGAGCACCATACTTGCTGTACTATCTCTCTGGCCCCCCAAAATTCTTTTTTAAATACCTAAATATTCAGATAAAAATATTTAGCAATCATGAAAATCCCAGGATTCTCTCTTTAGTCTTTCATTCAGTGAAAATCAGTGGCTTTGAGGTGGTCTTCACCCTGGACTATTGCTGATTGCCAGGTATAGAAAGGATGAAAACTACTGGTCTACCACAGTGGTTATAAATGCCAGTCTGTAGACTGATGCTGGTCTGAAAGTGTAGAAAAGTTTGAAGAATGCTGACCTAAATTATTCTACCAAGGGCTGAAGTCATAGGATAGCAGGTAGTGAGTTTGCCATTCATGTAGCCAATCCGAATTCGATCATCGAAATTCTAAATTTCGAGAGCCCATCAGAAGTGCTCCTTGAGTGCAATAGTAAGCCCTGAGCACCGCTGGATGTGGCCCCCAAAACAAAACAAAACTTATGTCACCAGCAGAGTAGGGTGCTTGCTTGCCAGTGGTGCTTGCTTTATGAAAACTGTAAGCTTGGAATCACACAGATCCTTATGCTCCATTCCTACTTCTTTAAACTCTCTGGTAATTTACTTTGAGCAATGTATTTATTAAACAAGTTTTAAGTTGGGTCCATGCATGCATATGTTTGTGTCAAGGTGGGAAAATCTATCTTGAAAAATCGTCCAATAGACTAAATTATTTTAGACACTGAAATTTTTCTCTCCCACATTTATTGTATTATTATTTTAAATAGTTTTAATGTTTATCGTTTTCATGTATATAATTATTGTGCTATACCACTACCAAAGTTTCCATGCCCCTGTCCTTGTGTCACTTCCAATCCACTCTTCATTCTCCCCCTTCCCTACTCAGTAATCTCAGTTTTATAATCTAAGATTAAGGATTTGTCATTCAATACTGTTTATTGCTAGATTTTCTGTATATATTAGAGATGAGTAGGATCAAGTGATATTTGTTCTTTACCCTCGGACCTTGTACTTAATATGATATCTTCCATTTCTATCCAAATTGCAGGGAACCAGAAGATTACATCTTTTCTTACAGCTGCATAGTAACATTTTTATCCAGTGACCACAACTTTTTTGATCCATTAATCACTTGTGGGGAATCTGAGCCATTTCTTATATCCAGGCTAATGTACTAAACACTGCAATGAACATGCATATATCCTTTCAAGTTAATATTTTATGCCTTGGAGATAGATGCCAAGTAGAGGAGTCACTGGATCATATGGAAGCTCTATCCTTACTTTTTTTTTTGCTTTCTTGGGGGGGTCAAACTCGGCAATGCACAGGGGTTACTCCTGGCTCTGCATTCAGGAATTACTTCTGGCAGTGCTCAGGGGACCATATGGGATGTTGGGAATCGGACCCAGGTAGGCCACATGCAAGGCAAATGCCCTACCTGCTGAGCTATCACCCCAGCCCCTCTATCCCTGCTTTTTTGATGGTGAGAAATCTTTACTGTTTTCTGTAAAGGATGAACCAGAAAGCATTCTATCCAAAACTCACCACATCCTGACCAAACACTGGTTGTTTCCATACATTTTTGCAATATTCAACTCTCTCTAGTATAAGATAATAAATTATTATGTTTTGATTTCTATTTCTCTAATAATTGGTGATGACCACTTTTTCATATGCCTACTGGCTATCCATAAGTTCTTTTTCTGGAAGTGTCTACATATCTCTTTTCCCTATTTTTGATAGGGTTATTAGTTTTGTTTTTATTTTAGCTTTGTGAGTACTTTATATATCTTGGATTAATGCTTTATCTGATGTAAATGCTGGATCCTTTTATTATTTTTAAAGGCACCATAGTTTACAGAAGGATTTTATGCTTTTTAAAAGAAATCTTTTTATAAAATATGATACATCTAAAGTACCTAAACCATAATTAAACAGTATAATAACAATATAATCAATCAGAAGCCCCCTTTGTAACCTGTCCTTATCACAAATCCTTTATTCTGCAATAGTTGGTAGTAGCACTGTAGCACTGTCTTCCCATTGTTCATCGATTTGCTCGAGTGGGCCCAGTAATGTCTCCGTTGTGAGACTTGTTGTTACTATGTTTGGCATATCGAATACATCACGGGTAGTTTGCCAGGCTTTGCTGTGCGGGCGTCTCACAATGGAGACGTTACTGGGTCTTCTCGAGCAAATTGATGAACAATGGGAGGACAGTGCTACAGTGCTACTTGTGACAAATGTACCATATTGATAAAAGATGCCAATGGGGAAAGTGGGTGTGGGAAATCCATGTCATCCAATTATCTATAAATTGAAAATTATTTTACTTTACTTTATATATTTGATTTTAGAGCCAAACCTGGCTGTGCTCAGGGCTTATTCCTGGTTGTATACTCAGGAATTACTCCTGGCAGACTTCACAGGACAACACGGAATACTAACTGGGAACTGAACCAAGGTAAGTCGCGTGCTAGACAAGTGCCTTATCTGCTGTCCTATCTCTCCAGTCCCAGAGTTGAAAGCTATTTTAAAATAATTTATTTTTTAAAAAAAACCTTTCAACTTGTAATAAATCAAGACTGGTCATGATGGTTTTCCATGTCCTTCCCATTTTTGGACATTTTCTAAAAATTTGCTTAGGATTTTTCCATCTATATTTAAGAATAAATTGCAATTATCCCATTTCCTTTTCAAAATGTCATTTTCTTTTTCACAGGTCTCAACTGTCTTGTCGGTTGTCTCAAAAAGTTTGCATATGTGAGAAAATATTGTATGATTCCTCTTATATGAGACTTCGAGAGTCGTATAACACAAAGAGAAAGAAAGTAGAATAACGATTGCCATGGTTTGAAAGGAGGGAGGAAAATGGGGAGTTAGTATTTGATGGGTACAGCGGTTTAGTTGGTATGAAAAAATTACTGGAGATGGAGGATCATCACCATCTATGATGGCTACAACAATATGAACCTACATAATGCCACAAAACAGAAGGCTAAAAAATAGATTAAATAGGGGCCAGAGAGACGGCTAAAGGGTTGCTTTGCATGTGGGAAGTTCAGGTTCTATTCCTGATACCACATAGTCTATTCTCAGAGCACCCATGGGAGCACAACTTATGAGTACAAAGCCAGGAGTACTCCCTGAGCACAGCTGGGTGTGGTACAAAAACAGAAATAGGTCAAATGGTAACTTTTATACTATTTCTATTTCACCATGACTTAGTTGCATAATATTTAAGATGATAATTTATTGAGAAGTTCATCACTAGAGGTTGCTATTAAAATAATCTGTGTCTGATTTTTTAATCTCATGAGATTACTGTTTCATATCTTTCTTTTTTCTTAGAACCAACAGTGTAGGTGTGAAGTGATACTTCATTGTAGTTTAAAATTTTTTTTCTTTTTTATTGAATCACCAAGAGATACAGTTACAAAGTTGCTCATGGTTAGGTTTCACTGAACTATCACCCCAGCCCCCAGGTTTTTTAAAACACATTAGTGGGGAATATATATGCATTGTAGCACTGTCCTCCCATTGTTCATCAATTTGCTCAAGCGGGCACCAGTAACGTCTCCATTGTGAGACTTGTTGTTACTGTTTTTGGCATATTGAATACGTTATGGGGAGCTTGCCAGGCTTTGCTGTGAGGGCAGGATACTCTCAGTAGCTTGCCGGGCTCCCTGAGAGGGGCGGAGGAATTAAACCCATGTAGGCAGCATGCAAGGCAAGGGCCCTACCCACTGTGCTAATTTAACATATTACTTAATAATTATAAAGATAATTTTTTTCGTAATACATTTCCCAGACTTTTAAACTAATGTTATAATAACAATAATGGAAAGCTGTTTTTTTAATGATTCCAATGTAAACAGATTTGCCATTTCAACATTTTAAAATAAAAACTCTAGGTTTTTTATATTTAGCAATTTTACAATATTTTAATGTCTTCTGACTTTATAGCATTTTATTAGGTATGACTACAAAATTGTGTCAACAGTTTTCATCATATATCTATTTTCTCCTTTGACATAGTAACAACAAAGTCTCCAATGGAGACGTTACTGGGCCCGCTCGAGCAAATCGACGATCAACGGGAGGGCCTTTACCTTTACCTTTACCTTATCTATTTTCTCCTTTGACATAGTAAAATATTATGTTACAGATATCCCTCCCCCCTTTTTTGGGGGGGGAAATGGTTTGGGACTAACACCTGGTGGTGTACAGGGCTTACTCCTTGCTCTGTGCTCCAGAATCACTCCTGGAAGAGCTCAGGAAAACATTCATCTATTCTTTCCTAGAACAAAATTTAGTTGTCTTTATTATAGGTTTTTTTTCCTTTTTTGGTCACACCCGGCAATGCTCAGGGGTTACTCCTGGCTATGTACTCAGGAATCACTCAGGACCATATGGGATGCTGGGGATCAAACCCAGGTTGGTGTGCAAGGCAAACACCCTACCTGTTGTACTATCCCTATTATCACTTAATCACTTAATCACTTAATCCCCGTTATTCATCGATTTATTCGAGCGGGTGCCAGTAACGTCTCCATTCCTCACGGTTGCGTGCTAGCGTAGCCCAATGGTATCTGTTCGTTTTAGGAACATGTAGAGCCTCAAACCGATCATTTAGGGTCTTGACGAAGAAGTCTGACCATCTTATAGGTGGGCGTCCACGTGATCTTTTGATGTCTCGTGGAATCCAATCAGTAATGGCTCTAGTCCAGCGGTTGTCTGTAAACCTCATTACATGTCCAGCCCATCTGATTTTTGATGTCTTGGCAAATGAGACAGCGTCTCTGATTCTTGAGCGTTGACGAAGATCAGAACTCCGGATTCTATCTCTCATTTGAGTGAATCGTGATATTCCAAGCATAGTTCTTTCGATTCCTCTTTGAGAGACCCGAATAGTGTTCTCATCCTGTTTTCGTAGGGTCCAGGTCTCTGAGGCATATGTTAATGCAGGAAGAATAGTGGAATCAAAGAGATGTGCTCGTAGTTGGAGGTTCTTTGTCCTTTTAGTTATTTCTTCAATGCTCTTGAAGGCATTCCAAGCCGCTCTCTTCCTCCTGCGTAACTCAGGTGCCAGGTCATTCATCATGTTGATTTCTCGACCTAAGTATATATAACTGTTGCATTCGGAGATGGTGGTTCCGTTGAGAGCGAATGGAGCGTCAGGAACAAGGCTGTTTCTCATAAACATTGTCTTCGTAAGATTCAGCTGTAGTCCAACCTTTCCACACTCACGGTCAAAGTCCGCAAGCATTTGTGCTGCTTGGCTGATGTTTGGTGTTATTAGAACGATGTCATCAGCAAAGCGGAGGTGGTGTAGTTGCCGACCATCTATCTTCACTCCCATGTTTTCCCATTCTAGTCGTCGCATGATGTTCTCGAGGGTGGCACTGAAGAGTTTTGGTGAAATGGTATCACCCTGCCGAACCCCTCTCTTGATATGGATGATTACTTCTTTGTAGAATGGTGAGATCTTGGTAGTGAATCCGCAATAGAGCTCACGAAGGATCCTGATGTATTGGGCTTGAATGCCCTGATTGGCTAGGGCTTCAATGACCGCTTCCGTCTCAACAGAATCAAAGGCCTTCTTTAAATCAATGAACGTTAGACAGAGCGGCATCTTGAACTCCCGAGATACCTCAATGAGCTTGGTTATTGTGTGGATATGGTCGATGGTACTGAATCCTTTTCGGAATCCAGCTTGTTCACATGGTTGTTCTTCATCTAGTGTTCTGCTAATCCTATTCAGGATGACTCGAGTGAATAGTTTGTAGATGACAGACAATAGGCAGATTGGGCGATAGTTGCCAATGTCGTGGATGTCTCCTTTCTTGTATAGTAGTACAGTCTTGCTGGTTTTCCATTGGGATGGAACCTTGCATTCAGACAGGTAGCGTGTGAAGAGTCGAGCTAATGTATTGATGAGTACTGATGGTAAGTTCTTCAGGTGTTCAGGTCTGATCTTGTCTGGGCCAGGTGCTTTTTGTTTCTTTACCGACGAGATGGCATGTTGGATTTCGGAAGGGAGAACATTGGGAACGACATATCCATCATGTGGTATGTGGTATGTGGGCAAGTGGATGTGGCTATTAAAGAGATCTGAGTAGAATTCATGAATAATCTTCTCCATTGCCCTTCTGGAAGATGTGATAGATCCATCATGATGTCGGAGGGCAGTCATCTTGGTTTTGTAGTTGGTGAAGGACAGGCGGGCATTACGAATGTTTTTCCCAGCTTCTGCTGCATCTACCAGTACTGCTGCTCTCCTGTTTTTGAGGTCATCCTTGATGGCTTTTCTGCACTGTTTTGCCAGTTCGGACGTTTGCTTGTGGTTGCCTGAGGCACGTGCCACGCCATGTTGGCGAATAAGTTCAAGAGTGTTCGAAGAAAGACGGTTTTTTGTGGTTATCTCTCTCTTGGCATTCCTTGCACAATCATAGAGGTGCTGAATCATTCGATCGTATTCCTCATCAATGTTGTCAATGACGGCATCTTCCCATGTTGCTGCAACAGAGCCAAAGAGTTCCCAGTTGGTGGTTGTTCTGGGAGTCTTCTTCTTAAACCTTGCATTCTTTTCTCCTCGTTCTGTGAGGTAGAATTTTGCACGAAGAAGACGGTGGTCTGATCCCGTTTGGAATTTTGGGACAACAGCAACATCGGTTAGGCAAAACCGCCGATTGAATATGATGTGGTCTATTTCATTGTGGAACCGTCCATCGGGAGACTCCCATGTCCAACGTTTAGATTCAGCCTTTTGGAATTGTGAGTTACCATGGAAGGTTTTGGTTGACATGATGAACTCAGACAGTCTGTCACCTTGTTCATTCCATTCCAGGCCATGGGTTCCGATGTGGAGTTCATCGACTGATCTTCTTGGTCCTATCTTGGCATTAAAATCACCAACAATGATCTTGTAGAAGGTGTGATCTTCTTTATAGAATTTCTCCAGCTCCATGTAGAATTTCTCAGTTTCTTTTTCACCATAACTGGATGTTGGTGCGTAGACAACAAAGATAGAAACTGCCGGTAGTGAGCCACATTTATTCAAGTGTAATCGTCCGATTCGGGTTGTTAGGCATTCAAATGAATCAATGCTTGTGACTAAGTTTGTGTTGACAAGGATACCGACACCACCGACGCCTCTTTTATCACATGTTCCAAGGAACAGTTCTTCTCCAGTGTCGAAAACAGCATGATGGGATTGATGTCTTCTCGTTTCGGTCAGACCAATGATGTCGTACTTGATCTTTCGTGCTTGTACCATAAGGTCTTCAATGGATGCAGCAGATGCCAGCGTACGAGCATTAAAAGTACAGACAATCATTTTTGTTTTTCTGCGTTTTGGCAGCCCATGTCTGCCTTGGTGTTTTATCAGCTTCTCCTTCCATATCCTTCTCGACTCTGCATAATCAGGGCTAGGGGAATGAGATCCATTTATTACTGGATTTGGCATATCAATTTGGTCTATTTGGCATAGATCACGGATAGCTTGCCAGGCTCTGCCGTGTGGGTTGGATATTTAAGGATATTTAAGGTATCCGGAAAATTATTAAATAAATAGTCACGCTATTTATAATATTTTTTAATTCACTTCTAGGTTTTATTTTCTGCTGTATTTAAAGTTTTGTCTTCAAAAATTAGGGTCGATTACAATTTTGTTTTTTAAACTATTTTAAGGTTGCAATGGACTCCTATAATTTAAGATTTTCAGAGCTTTTAAGGTAAAAAATGATCTAACATTGGAATCACATCTATTTTCTAAAGATTGAACACGAGCTTGAGACTATTTGATCTCATTGCTCTCATTTTCTTTGGTGGCTGAGTATAAAATAGCTTCCCTGGGCTGGAGCAATAGCACAGCGGGTAGGGTGTGTACCTTGCACACAACCCACCCTGGTTTGATTCCCAGCATCCCGTATGGTCCCCCGAGCACTGCCAGGAGTAATTCCTGAGTGCAAAGCCAGGAGTAACCCCTGAGCATCACTGGGCATGACCCAAAAAGAAAAAAAATAGCTTCCTTGTTTATATATATACATATATATATTAGGAATATGTGCTTCTATCTCTTAGTTTCCTGGCTTGAAAAATATTTTAATCATTTAACATTTGTATTATGTCTTTCTTCCAAGGAGTTCAAATTACATTACAACAATTATAGAAATCATAATGTCAGAATATTAAAACCGGGAGGGGCCTTAACAACAATTTAATTCAACCTACTCATTTTATAAATGAGTTCACTTAACATTGATTTGCACAAAAATTAGTCTCAAGAAAGTTGTTTATTGGGATATAACTTGAGAAGTAAAAATGTTCATCCAAAACAGATAAATCTAGAGTACTTGACATAGGAGGTGTTGAATTAGGTCACTGTCACTGTCCTCTCATTGTTCATCGATTTACTTGAGCAGGACCAGTAACGTCTCCATAGTGACACTTGTTACTGTGTTTGGCATATCGAATACGTCATGGGTAGCTTGCCAGGCTTTGCCATGCGGGCGTGCATTTATCCTTCGGAGTCCCTAACCAAAGCTTTATTATTGGTTTTCATCACACCCAATCAGGTCAAGGCCAACTTCCTGCTGGTTGCTCTGGTGCACTCCTGGTAGTGCTCATGCTTAGTATGAGGATCCAATTCAAGTCTCAGGTATGCAAAACATCTATTCCAGTCCTTGAAGCTAAGTTCCTGGCTATGGAGGTTTCCTTTGACTGTGGTGGTGTTGGGGGTGGGGGTGTTGAATGTGTTGATGGGGGCCACTCCTTGTGGTAATCTGGAGCCACATGCAGTGAGGAGGATCAAACTGAGTCTGAATGCAGACAAGGCCAGCACCTTAACCCGTTTATTATCTCTTGGGCCCCTGCTGCTATTTACTTTGTTGTTGTTGTTGCTGTTGTTGTTGTTTAGGGGCCACACCTGGCTATGTTCAGGAGTTGCTCTTAGCTCTGCCCTCAGGAATTACTCCTGGTCATGTTCAAGGGATCATATGGGATGCCAGAGATAGAAGCAAGGATGACCACGTGCAAGGCAAATGCACTACCCACTGTACTCTCATTACTCCAGTCCTCCAGTAGTTTTCTTACAGATAATTTTCATTTTTTACTGTATTACCTGTTACCTTTTCTAAATATCCTTTAGATATTTGACATGCTGATTAGGAAGACTAATGGATTATACTGCATATATTTAATCTCACACTTATCATCTATACATGGGTTTGGGACAGACTGGGTCTTTTACTCATGATCGTTGGACTCCGTTCCACATCCAGCTTACCAAGTCTTTGTCTATGGTTCTAGGGACAGACTTGCTTTTTAAGCTGACAATATCCTCAAAGTCTTCTGTAAACGACCCACTCAAATCGAGCTCAGATCGACTCTGGTCTAGAGGAAAGAAGAGAAAAAAAAGGAAAGATGTGAATTAGCTTACTGTATCAGAACACAGAATTTGGGGGAGGGGTAAAGAAATAGTAGCACTGTAGCACTGTCCTCCTGTTCATCGATTTGCTCCAGCGGGCCCAGTAAAGTCTCCATTGTGAGACTTGTTACTGTGTTTGGCATATCGAATACGTCATGGGGAGCTTTGCTGTGCGGGTGAGATACTCTCGGTCACGGTTCTCCCGTTGTTCATCGATTTGCTCGACTGGGCCCAGTAATGTCTCCATCATGATACTTGTTGTTACTGTTTTTTGGCATATCGAATACGTCACGGGTAGCTTGCCAGGCTCGCCAGGATTGAAGCACCTGTTTTTGCAAGTGGCTGCCTTTTATTTGATCCCTGGTACCCCATGCCACTCCCTTCCCCCAGGACTATCAGTAGTGATACCTGAGCACAGAGCCAGGAATAGCCCCTGAGCACCACTAAATGTGGCCCCAAAGCTCAAATAAATAAGCAATACGTAAAAACAATAGAAGGGAAACCAAAGAGAGAGTACATGGATTAATGTGCTTGATTTATTAAAAGAGATGAGCCTTGTTTTGCTCCCCAGCACCACATATGGTTCCCCAAAGCACTGACAAGAATGATTCCTGAGCAGAGAGACAGAAGGAGGCCCTAAACACAGCTGGGTGTAGCCTGAAGAATCCCCCAAAATAATAGAAATTTTAAAATAATAGGGTTGATTTCTTTTTAAGTTCTTCCTCTTCATACCGATTCTTTCTAGGCACAGGGCATAGTGTTATAAAAGGCAATCGGCACCTAGAGTAGCTTTATGCTTTTTAACATACTTCAATATTCTATATGTTTTGACGTTTCCTTGAACTAAACTGCAATGTGGTCACTTCTTTGATCAAGGAGGTTAAATGCTCTACTATGAAATGCAGCATCAGTCTCTGCTTTGCTCACTAACTTAAAAAAAAAACTTCCATAATCTTAGAAAAAACTAAACAGTAACCATTCCTTTTCTTCCTTAGGCCAAATTCAGCAGTGCTCAGGGATCACACCTATGAGGGATCAGAGGACCTTATGGGGTGCTGGGGGTTGAACCTGGGTTTGCTGCATATGAGGCAAGCGTCCTACCCACCGTACTATCTCTCCAACCTCCAAGCATTAACCATTCTTGATTTAAATATTTAAGGAATTCATAGTGTCTTTATATTTAGCACAAAGTGAAATTAAATATTATAGTAAGTTCCTTTCATGCAAAAACTAGAGTAGTCTATAGATATCTTGAGAGGGCTTTCTACTTTTTCTCCCCTTTGGTAAGGGAGAAAGATTCTCTTTCTTTATTTCTTTCAATTTAATTTTTATTAAAAAACAGTGATTTAAGTTATTGACAGTTGAGTTTTAGGAGTATAATATTTCAACACCAATTCCACACCACTGTCAAACTCACTCCATCAATGTTCCTATATATCCTCCACACCCCAAGCCCCAGCCAATCCCCACCTGTCAACTTGACAGGCACATTACAACATTTCAGTGGTTGCAGATTAGATCTCATGTTTTCAGTTTTATTGAGTCTGGCTATATACATATCACCGGTTTTACTGAAACCCTGGTGCCTATTCACCCATTACTTCTCGTGAGAGAGTCTATTTCTTTTGGCACTAAAACATTCTTTCATCAGAAGAATATCTTGCTTCAAAAATATAAGTTAAATAATGCAAGACTCAATCAAGACACTATTTACAGTTCTGTATCAAAGCCCCGCCGAGACAAACTTATTGGTTTTTAAATGAGAAAGACTAAACGCAGCAGTATGCTTATGTTTGAAATAGTAAATGAGATAGTGCTGAAGTACTTAGCCCAATGCCTGAAAGAGTATATGCTAAATGAGCAGGAGTTACTGAGTTAAAGTACTCGAATATATTTTATGATATTGGCTCTTAGGTGAGTTTTAATTTTTTCTAATGTAACAGGTGAACTGTGTTTCTAGTACTGAACAAATGACACAATGACCACTACCTTTTAAAAAACCATTGAAGAGCTACCTGATTAGGAGAAATTCCCAAGTTCAGAGTCCAGCCTTATGCTTTATGCCAATACATCATTAGGTAAACCAGGTAATTTTGTAATGTTGAGAACTTCATTATGATTTTAATTCTACACATGGGACATAAATGTCATACTGATGACAAATTAAGGAACAATTTCTTTGTTTAGTTTCTTTATTCAGAGGCAATAAATTTGCATCAGAGGATTATTGGGATGATGAAGCAAAATGAAATATTTGAATATACCAAATGAAAGGGATTAGTAGTAGTAGTAATAACTTAATGCTATTCATTAAAAAAATTCCATTTGCCATGGGATGATTACTTTTTCTAGATATATAGAATTTCTGATGACTACATCAAGTAAACTATCATTCCTTAAATTCTGGGATGTTCTACCTTTAGTATCAAATGAGCCAATTAGATTTTCTGACACTCATCTATTGACATTTGGTAGAGCTCTCAACTTAGAAGAGTGTATGCTTAATAAGTGAATCCTGTATAAATATAAGAGATTCAAGGCATCACAGTCTACTTTTAAGAAGAAATTCTTATAGCATTCTATCACCATGGGTCAAAGAATGTATGATTATTTTCTTTATCTTTTTTTAAAACAATTTTTTTTGCGTTGAGTCACTGTGAGGTAGATCCTTACAAAGCTGTTCGTAATTAGGTTTCAGTCATACAGTGTTCTAACCCCCAGCCTGCCTCTATGACAGGCCCTTCTCTCTTTCTCTCTCTCTCTCTCTCTCATTGTGGTTTGCAATACAGATACTGAAAGGTTGCCAGCAATATACCTTTACCTACTTTTAACCCTCAGTTTTTGTCCAATGTGATCATTTCCAGCTATTATTGTCATACTGTTCCCTTCTCTATTTTACCTACCCTCTGCCCCACACATAATTGTGGTTGATTTCAACCACTGACCAGTCTTCCTACTTCCTATTCCCTGTTTTTACTGGCCATGGGTATTAGTCTTCATCTATCTATCTATCTATCTATCTATCTATCTATCTATCTATGGTATATATATTTATATACCACAAATGAATGCAGTGTATGGTTATTCTCTAAAGGCATAAAATATTCATTGAATGGCACAGTTAATTAATTTAACGTGCTCATTTTTTTATGACAGAGTAGTTATGTTGTAGTTAAGTTGTAAATACCCACCTGAGGAGATGGAGACCTTGGATATTGCTATGGATGGTGTGCCAGAATCATTTCTACGATGACCCTTTCTGAAGTTCTCAGAAGTGCTTTCAACGGTAGTCAAATCCATTGAGGTTTCAAACCCGTGATCCTTCTCACAAAGTAGAAATGCAAAATAAAACCATTACACTGACTGAAATTTACTTTAAAATTCTTCCATATAAATATATGTCAATATAGACACAGCTAAGTGTATTATTCACTAAGAAGAGCTGGTTGTCATTTAGAGATCTCTCATCAGGAATCCCTACAACATAAAAATGTATACCATCAATAATTGCTCTCTAACATGTGTACTAAAGGGATTCATTAATTAGCCTGAAAGTGTCCAAAAATTTTTCAGTTAAAAATTTGTGAATATTCTAATATATTGTTAGCAAGAGAGGTGACACAAGTATCTCCAGTCCAGGGAAACTATGTAACAGACTTTATATTACTCCATAGTACTCAGGCTTACAACTTTCTTTGGTCCTAAATTTGTCCTTGATCTTGTAACACTCTCAGTGATCATCCCTTACACCACCTTCATACCCATCTAACAGAATAAAACAACATGTTTCTATTTAGCAGGCTGGATGATCAAAACATGGTTGATTACATTATTTTTGGTAAAAGCCTTTCCTATTAGATACTAAAGTTCATAAAAGAATAAAACACAGGACTTCCATGCCTTATGATAGGAGTGTGTGTGTATGTAAGCACACTTGCTAATAAATACTACTGCATGTTGCAGAATTTAGACCGAGACTTTATTTCATTGTAACATTTGTTGATCATCGATTTGCTCCAGCGGGCCCAGTAATGTCTCCATCGGAGACTTTGTTGTTACTGTGTTTGGCATGTCGAATATGTCACGGGGAGCTTGCCAGGCTCTGCCGTGTGGGAAGTAACATTTGTTAATAAAGGAAAACACTGTCTCAACTTTGCCCATGCCTCTAGGGAATTTAATAGTCTATAAATCAGTCCAAGTTTGCCTCAACATTGGAGAGCTGATTTGGACCTCTTGAGAACCGGACTGAAGTAAAAATGTCCATGAAAATGGCATTATACTATGCTACTGATAAAAACCTCAGACTCTTTGATTTTCTTTACATAAACAAATTCCTATACAGAGAAATTTACTTCTTGTTGCTCTATATTTAGCTCACACTTTAGATACTGTGTAAGACTGATGAACCCACTGCAGAGAAATGCAGTTTTCACTTGCTTAAAATGCTAATTAGTACCACTTCAATCTAGACTGTTTTGGGGTCTTTTGATTATTCTGCAGTATATACTACCGGTGGCAGAAGAAATACAGCTCCTAACTCCTTTAATTGCTACTGACTACCAAGGTTTATTAAAAGGCTGTGACAGAGGTCAAGTGGATAAATTAGTTTCGATCTGTTTTCAACACCTGTTCAAAAAGTTGTTCACACATGGAGTACTCCAGTGAAGCAAGACCGAGTTCCTCAGTAACAATTACATTGACAGCAAATTTTCCAATTGGTACTCTGGGGGTATCATTACTATTGAATACTGACGGGCCAATTAATATTGTATAATCATCAACAGGCTATATATATACCAAGCAGAGTCAGGAGGTGAAGCTCAAAATTAACAGGGTACATCATAGTAGAGGATAGAGGATTTTCATGTTCCAAGAGCTTTCCATTAAAAACACAACAAACTATAACTGAAACCAAATCTCTTCTGTAAGTCTACAATTGTACCTCATGGTGTTTCACTAATAAAAAAATAATAAAAATAATTAAATAAATAAATAAAAATAAAAATTAAAAAAAAACTTTCTACATGCTAAAGAAAAATAATGTTGAAACAAAGGGATGCTGAGAAATGGTAGAAAATGGTAGACCTCTATATTTTTTCCTTCAGCATGTAGGAACAAAAAAGCTTCACAAAGTACTGTTATTCAGCAGAAAATATTTCTTTGTCTCCCCTTTTCTCTTAGGAAAATTTAGCTAGATCAACCAGAATGTAAGAGTGAGATCAACATAGGCACTACATATAATACATGCATATATATGTAACTCAATAGCAAAGAATCTAGATTGGGGAATTTGGGGTGGGTTTTGGTTTGTTTATTCACTTGTTTTGGCAGTATCAGGGTTCAATTCTAGGACCTCATAAATGCAAGAGCTCTACTGCTGAGCCCTACTCTGGGCACATGACAAACCTGATTATCAGCTCATAGTCAATGGTGCTTAGGAAGATCATTTTTGTTATGAGAAAAATACTTGGCGAATTTGCTGGTTACTTTCCTGAAATTTGACTGTATCCCACTGGTATAATTATACCAGACACTAAAAACTTTAGCATGCTTCTATATCATTTGACAAACAGTACTACTTCTAGTCCTCCCTGCCTTTCTATGTTCTATTTCCTCCACATACCCTTCTTCCACCTACCCCCCTCCATGAACATACAATACAGGTTACTACATGGCATTGAGACTCCCAGGACACTGCCCCAACTTTGTGTCAGTATCTCTGCTTCTCAGTGCCCTTGTCCTGAAAAATACTTTGAATATCATTCTTGTTGTTTCCAAAAAGTAAATATACTCATGAACTATACAGTTTTCTGGCTACTGAACTTAGAAAAAGTATTTATGAAATTTTAAATATGTACTTGATCTTATCAGAAAGTACTATTTAGATGATAAATGTTTAAATCTATTATTAATATTCAATTTGTCTGAACAATTTTCACCTCTTTCTTTAAAATATCTATAGAAACTTTGACTTCACAATTTCCACTTCTAGCTCCCTGTCCAAAGCCTAGTTCTTCATGTGGAGTATTGCTATGGCCATTTACCTGGTCTCATAGTTTCCAATCACTCCCTGTAACTATTTCATATAATAGCACCCAGATGCTATATAAACAGAAGGCAAATCATGTTTCTGCTCTATTCAAAACCCTCCAACTGCGCCTGTTTTGCTCAGTATAAATCCAAAGTACATAGAGAGGGCTCCAAGACCCTTTCTGGCCCTGTTGACCTCTATGACCCATTTCTTAGTAGTTCTTTCTTCCTTTATGCACAATAGCCATGGGTATTTTCCTTGCTCTTTATTAAACGTACCAGGCATACTTCCATCTCAGGTTCTTTGCATGCCATGTTCCTCCATGGGAATTAGAAACCAGTTGAACAGGTTATTCACCATTCAATGTGGAATCCAGACATAACTAAGTAAAACAGCTTTTCCCACTGTCCCAACCAGGAGGAACACCTTAATTCAACTTAGCGAATGCCTAATTGTTTTGTTTATTTGGTCCACACACAGCTATGCGCAGCAATCACTCCCGGTTGTGCGCAGGGGAAAATGTGCAGTGCTGGGGGTAGAATCAGAATCTGCTGCATGCAAAGCAAATCACTTAATCTCTCTACTTTCTCTCCAGATCCCTGAACAGATTTTACTTCCTTCAACACCACATTTGATCATGTTATGGCCTGGCTTAGCATAACCCTGATTAAATATTGACTGGATTTTAAAAAATTATATCTATGTGTACACATATATATTTCTTAAATACAGATGCCAGTTATTTGAATGATATTTCTAATGTCCAGCATCAGGCCCTGGGTTGCTTCCTGGAGGTGGTATTTAGCTTTGGAGTAGAGGGCCTGGTGTCAACAGAATCAACTGACAATTTAAAGTTGAGGAAAGTGATCAGTGACATCTAAAAGAAAGGACCTTGGTGGCAGGAAGTAGATGGCAAACAGTACTTAACACATGAATTTAGAGAAGACCAAAAAAAAATGAAAGAATTTGTACTTTGGCAAATAGGAAATTTCAAGAAGCAAATACATTTAAGGGAAAAGGACCTTATTTTCAAAGTAAATGGAAAAGGAGAAGAACCTAATATAAGGGACAGAAAGCTATTTCAAAGAATGAAGTAGATTCAAATTTCATCTGCCATGCATCACTGAATTTGGATATTGTAAATTAATATAGTTTTAACATCATGCACTCTACCTGGAAGATGAAAGACTTAACTAAACTCTTATAACCAGACACAAAAAATAAATTCAAAGGCTTCATCTGAACCCCAAACTTGGTTTGAACCTTTTGAATGAAGTTCTAGAGGAACTAAATTTGAAATGCTGAAAAGTTGAAGAGGATTTTAAAAATGATGAGACAACATTAGGCCCTCCAAAAAATAGTTCTCTAATTTTTTTTTCTTTTTGGGTCACACCCGGCGATGCTAAGGGGTTACACCTGGCTCATGCACTCAGGAATTACTCCTGGAGGTGCTCGGGGACCATATGGGATGCTGGGAATCGAACCTGGGTCGGCCATGTTGGATGCGTGCAAGGCAAACGCCCTACCCTCTGTGCTATCACTCCAGCCCCTCTAAATTTTTAAGAAACAAACAAAATTGAAACTTCAAAGATAGTCTGTGAATGCAAAGCTTTCTGAAAAAATGATAACTCAAAACCGTGGTTACAAGAACAACTAAATGGGCTACTTTAAGGCAAGAATGGCCCCTCAAATACACCAAATTTCAACAGAACAATGGGACAAAATCCCATAACAATAATCTCTCTCAATGTCAATGGGCTAAACGCACCAATTAAAAGACATAGAGTGGCAGGATGGATTAGAAAATTGAACCCAACATTCTGCTGCCTGCAAGAAACACATCTCAATAGTCAAAGCAAACACAGACTCAGAATCAAAGGCTGGAAAACAATCCTACAGGCAAACAGCTCCCATAAAAAAGCTGGGGTAGCCATCCTAATATCAGACCACATCGATTTCAGAGTGAGGAAGGTCATAAGAGACAGTGAAGGCCATTTCTTAGTGATCAAAGGATCTGTACAACAGGAAGAACTTACAATAATAAATGTATATGCACCTAATGAGAGACCAGCCAAGTACTTAAAACAACTACTCATAGATTTGGAAAAAGACATCAACAGCAACACAATACTAGTGGGAGACTTCAACACTGCTTTGTCACCTCTTGATAGATCAACCAGACTCAAGCTTAGCAAGGACATACTTCATCTGAGGGAAACAATGGAAGAAAGGGACTTAGTAGATATATACAGGACACTTCATCCACAAAAAGCTGAATACACATTCTTCT